AATGATGATGATGAAATTATTTTATTATATTTTTATATTTCTATATTTTAGGAATACTTAACACATTCTATTAGAAAAGAATTTAATGATATAAAAAACAAATATTTTCCAACTGTCAAACTGTTTCAAATAAAAATTTCGGGTAATTCTTGGAAATTACAATTGGATAAATTATTTTCTACGAAAATAGCAGAAGATGTAATACGAACATTGAATTTGAACATAGGAGATTTTCTTTTTTTAACCGTTGGCCCTAAGCTTAATTCTGTATGTATATATTTTTATTATATTGAACTTTTACAATAAATTTTAAACATAAATATTATTTTATATCAATTTTAGCAAAAACTTTTAGGAAAATTTCGAATTGAATTTACAAACGTATTGGAAAATAATAATTTAAAAATACGTTCACCTGGCTACAACTTTTTATGGCTTATTGATTTTCCATTATTTAATGTAAATGAATCACAGTTGTTAGAAAGTATGCATCATCCATTTACACAACCTCATCCAAAAGATATGAAATATCTTAGATCAGAACCTGAAAAGGTATTAGATTTATCAGCAATACCCAGAATTAATCTATACAATTTATATTTCATTTTTACAGGTGCGAGGTTTACATTATGATTTAATTTTAAATGGTTCAGAAATAGGAGGAGGTTCTATAAGAATTCATGATACAAATCTTCAAAAACAAATATTTAAAATGTTAAACATAAATGAAAAACAACTTTCACATATGCTTGAAGCATTGTCTAGTGGTGCACCACCTCATGGTGGTATAGCATTGGGTGTTTATACTTTTGTATTTTTACTTATTATAAAATATTCAATTCACACATTTTTTTTTTTTTTTTTACTAAAAATGGACATTAATATTTACGTACTTTTTAGGTCTGGATCGTCTCCTTTGTATACTCTGCAATACGGAAAGTATAAGAAGTGTTATAGCATTTCCAAAAACAATAGAAGGACGAGACTTGATGTCTGGAGCTCCTGTTCCAATTCCCACAGAAGTCCAAGAGTTATATCATATAAAAACAATAGATGAGCGAAGTAATATTTAAAATTAAATTTCTTATTCTACATTTGAATAAATTTATTATATTTTTTGACAAAAATAAACTCTGCAGGTAAGATTCATCAAATATGAATGGTATTTTAAGTGAAATTTAATTATCGGTATTTTTACATAACTTAAATGGATAAAAGAATACAATTTTTATAAATTAAACTTCACATTTGATTAATACATTCACATCCTTTCAGATAACAATGTCATACAATACCAAAAGTTTGTATAAATTTTTATATCTATACTGATATTTATATAGAATCTTGAAACTTAGAAAAAAATAAACTGAATATTGAAATTGAAAATCTATGTTACTACGTATATGAAATGGACTGTACGAATAAATGTTAGCAGGGATCTGAACTAGGAAGAATAAGAACACTTTTTTCAATTTATATATTCATCTAATCCATTATCGCGAGAAAAAGAAAAAGTTTTTCGTTCTGTTTTCTCCGTTGGAACTTGGAAACAATAGAATATATATACATACACAAAAAATTCTACTTTTCAAATATTTTCTATTAAATTAATTTGATATGAAAAAATAAAAAGGATAAGCAAATGAAAAGTCGATTTAAGTATAAATTCTAATATTTAAAATATATGATCTATATGTATCCAAAATAAGATGTTGAAATGGATCGATTCTATTTAACAAATTCGACAGATTTATCAGCCATTTCACAGGATTTTTATTCATTCAAACGCTTGATAGTATCGATTAAAAAAAAAAGAGAAAGAAAAAAGATAACAAAAAAAGAAAGAGAACTCCACACTGGACTAATCCATTCATACATTACAACTATGTATTCGTTTTTCTTTTGAGAATAGGAACACAGTGTTTTACGTTTTGCAGGATTTTACAGGATTTTACAGGATTTTTGTTTTCCTTTCTTTTATTTGTTTTCTTTTTTTCTTTTTTAATTGTTTATTTAAGTTTCGTTTACCATCGGTTAATGTGCTCAAATTGGCACTTGTAATAATCAATCAATCGGCTGGCAGTAAAATGTCCTTGGAACATTTATTCTAGATAAATATATTAATCGAACATTACAATTAAAACGTAATGAAGAAGAAAATTTCCTATTCCGTGCCAGCATTTATTTTTATACTTTGTTTCTATTTACTTCTCACGTGATAATATAATTGATGTTCTCTTAGCAAATTTTTACTTTATTTAATCCGAACGTCATCATCATCGTATCTCTTGCGTGTTCTTTTTTGCTTCTCTTTTTTTTTTTTTTTTTTTTAACATTATGACTTTATAGACCTTGCATACACTATTTTATCTTTATAAAAATACTATTTTACATAACGAAGAAGAGCAAGCGTACGACGCATACATACATACATATATACATACATAATCCATACACATCACGTAAGCAGAGAGATCATACATGACGCACGCATACATACATACATGCATGCCCACTGCTACTGATCTTCGGAGCACGATCGTACACGAAACTATACGACGAATGAGTGCATCCAGCCTTGTAGATATATCCACGTACGCAAAAAAACATGCATCCTCTTCCAATCCAATAAAATATTATAACATTTTCTCTTCAAGTTATAATCTAAAAAATAAATCTATTAACTTAACGAAAATGAAAAAGAATTGTATTTATATATACATATACTCATAAAAAAAAGAAAAAGAAAAATAAAAAGAAGACAGGTCATTTCTCAGATCTGTTCCTCCCTCCCATAAATGAAAATTATCTTCGACACCTTGAAACTTATTAGTTTATTGTGATGCGAATTAATTTCTTTAATTTCTTCTTTTTCTTTTCTTTTTAGGCACGACTACAAGTTTTTTCGATAAAAAGATTTTTTAAACTAATTGTAACATTAAAAAGGTTTTAAAGAATCTTTACGTTTCATATCAAAATATAAATATAAATATGTTTTGTATTTAAAATGAGGTTACTTGTAACGATAAAGTTACAAGTAAATGCACACGGAATTTCAATTTTATTCTTTTAACGATTTCCAAATAGTTTATAGTTCTACTTAATTTATTAAATAAATCAATAAGTAAATATAAAAAAATAACAATCGTATAAGAATATTTAAAATAGTATTAGACATTAGCGTAAATTGCATCGGTTGTGCCTATTATTAAACTTTTTTGCTTAGGAATTCAGGAAGAAAAATATTCTGACAGACGCAGAGAGAAAAATGCTGATTTTTATAATTATTATAATATGAACAAATTAAATACGTAAAAATATAAAAAAAGAAAAAAGAAAAGTAAATTATAAATATACTGGTTTACAAAAACAAATATCTACCAGCGTAGTACTGTACAATCCTATTTTTTGTTTTTTTTTTGTTTTGTTTAATCTAATATATATCCACATTCATAGAATCTTTTTCTTTAACATACACACCATAAAAATATGCTAAACATTAATTTTTGAAATAACTAAATCACATTTTAGGTTATCTTTGCAGGCTAATGCACCTCGTATTTCTTTATTTTCTTATTGGTTTTTTTTTCTTTTTCTGTCGCTAAGCATCGAGAAAACAGCTTTAGAATTAAAAACTGAGAATTACGGTGGGTAACAGAATAATAAACAGGCTAATGATCGCTTTCTTGGAGACCTGATATAGCACGAACGTAAAAATATATATACTCTCTTTTAATTGAAATTAATTTAAAAATATACGATGCGTTAGAGCAACTCATTGTCTAGTTAAAGTTGAAAGAATCAAATGCAATTAGAGAAGTTCAAAGAATGCTTGTTTGTTAAGTGCACAGTATTCGACGGCAGTGCAAGTTTTCTTTTATTTTTCCGTTCTGTTAGTTTTTTTTCTGTTTTTTTTTTTTTGTCTAGTAATTTTGTAAACTTAGTTACAATTCCAATTCTGGAAAAACGAGCCCGTCCATTTGTATGCACTTCGAGGCAGACTAAGCTTACGGAGAAAAGGTAGGAGAAGGGTGGGTTGTGTGTCCGATTTACGTCAAACTCGAGAATAACTGGATTATGATTAGACGCTTTCCTTACTGCGTTCACTACGAATATTGATTAATTTTTCATTCCGGCCCGCCGGTTTAATGCATGCAAATTGATGACGATATATCGTAGTTACGATAACGCATAATAACACAAGTATATATCTGTGGCAGTCGTGCAAGACCAAGATAATATGGTATAAACTTCATCGTAGAAAAAGTCGTAATAATTCGAAATGCTTAACGCTGTTAAAGAAAACGTAGATGAGCGATCATGTGCTTATCGTATATATGTAGTAATAAATAAGCTCGATGACTACCTTTCTTCTTTTTGCTTATTACAACATTGTATGTTTCGTGTGTATATCATCGTATTAATATACTTTTAATAGTATTTAATAAAATGATGACCAAACACCTTTGGTTTTCGGACGGTCGTACATGAGAATAAATGGATTAAACAAAAATATGAATGAATGAAGTAATGAATAAGAGTTCAAATTCTAAGAGTCAACCAGATGTAATTGAGTGCTCGTTTATGATTGTTGCATCTGTGTGGATGTACATGTACATTGACAGTCTGTTTTTATACAAAGAAAATTAATAATAATATGTGTGTAGTTTAGTTTTTGAAATTTCTTAACATTTTTCATAGCATCGATGCAATCAAAATTTTAAAACAAATATCTTTATTTTAAAAGTTCATTTTATATTTTAATTCTAATTTATTTTATATTAATTAGATCTATTTAGAAAATTGTAAGTGAACTATCTCTTGCTATTTAAAAAATTGTATTCAGAGTTATATCACGGTACCAAAATGTTAAACGTACCTTTTTGTTTGAATTGATGCATAAAAAAATGTATTGCCTTGAGTTTAATATCATCATTACAATAAAAATTCTTCTTTGTGATTCACCTTATATGTATATGTAAATGGGAAAAGGTGAAAGAAAAGCAGATACGCTGAAATATTTAAACTGTTCGTGATTTAGCAAAATTCACAGTCACAGCAGGTTTTTTAAGCATATAAGTTGCTCTTTATCCATTATACTACACACAGGTACACGGGAAGAAACTATGTACACAAGACGACACATCCGAATACTAGCAGTATTTAATATACTTTAAGATGTTATAGAAATGATGGTATGTCACAATTTTAAACAGTGACAAGGTATGTATTATAATGGTCGCGTTCATCGCGCCATAGGATGCATGACGATGAAGACGACAAAGACAACGACAACATACATAGAAAGTGTATAATGTACTCCAAACGTGCCATTTTGTAGCACACAAGTGCAAGTACAAAGAAGCATGGCTATCATGTAATAGCCATTTTTCTTGTTCTTTAGCGATCCTTTTGCTCCTTGGGTTCGTACCGGTACCGGCGTCTCATACGTCGGTTCTTTTATCTTGTATACTTTATAGATGCGATATCCTTTCAACCAATATACCCAGGAGCTTTAGACCACCATTTCGTTCATTTGCTGTAGTTTGCAGCTTATTTCCATACCAATAATAAATAAATTTCTGAGAGCATTGCCCTATATTGGTCTGATTAGTCTTATGCAGTTTCATCAACTGTTGGTAACCAGAAAGCCATATTGGTACATGCAGATGCCAACATCATATATTTTGGATTGAATTGAATACACTGAACTGGTGCTGGATGATCTCCATTAAGGACACATACCTTGTATCCAGTTTCTGCATTCCATACATGTACTCTACCATCCGTTGAGCCACTAAATACAAATTGTGAATCTGGACTAAAGCTGGCCTCTATTGCGATGCCTTTGTTATTTAAATAACCAGCAAAAGTTTGTAATGGAGTTCCATGAAAAGCATCAACCAAGCGAATTGTACTACCATTCGTCGATATCAGAATGGTCTTACCATCTCTACTGAATTTCAATCCAGTCCAATCGCATTCCTTCTCCTGAGAAAGTCTGAAGGTCACAAAAGGTCCTTTATCAAAACTGCGTAAATCATATAGCTTAATACTCTCTGAATTTACTCCAGCAGCAAAGATTAAACCTTCAGGATCATATGCAGCAACTGGGCGTCCAGAAACATTCATAACACCATGACAATTTGGTGAGCGTAAATCCCAAAGCCTCAAGGACTTATCCAATGATCCGGAAAGGAATGTATCCTCTATAGGACTGATGCAAAGTGATACAACTTTCTTAGTATGACCAGGGAAGTATCGTATGTACTTATTGTCATGCAAACTTAGATATCGAATGGTATCATCTACTTTGGTACTGCTGTGGATGGCAGTATTTTTGGCGTGAGTGAAATGAATCAAATCGACACCATATTTCTTAGAATTGACTGTGCGGACTTGAGTGCCCTTCTCGCAGTCATATATAACAATTTGATCATCCTCTGAACAGGAGATAAGTGTATCTCCATTTGGCGAGAAATCGATACTGTTTATACGATCGGAATTCTCTCGGAAGACTTTGGCCACCTTGAAGCTTCTCACCACGTGGTCGACGAGCTTCATGATGATGGACGGCGGCGCGTCTTCCTTTTCCTGCCGTCCTCTTAACCTTCCCCCTTCCGTAATTTCTTCCTTTTTTTTCCTATCACTGCTTAAGCGCCGAGGCGCTGAAGCTCCCGAGGATGGGAGCCCCTCAATTGTTCTATGTACCACTGTTATTCTTCCACTTTACAGAAAAGAAAAAACTCTACGATGAGATGCAAATAAATTTATAGGAAAATCGGGGGAAGAAAAATGGAGTTCTCAATAAGCTTGCTGAATTCTCAAATATACCAAATTTACCGATTCCTGATCTTCTTTGATTTTCAAACACAGAAGGTCAACTTCGATTCCGACAAAGGAATCCTCTTCTTTTCTTCTTTCCTACAAACGGACGCCGTCGCCAGACTACCGCACATCAAACGCATAAATTCTACCAACCGTTTAGAAAAATGGATAGCGAATTAGCGTGAATGTATTGTCAATGTATATTCGTCATATATTATAGCATAACACCGTATATATAGTCCTGAATCTACGTTAACTTTGTAATACTTTCAAGAGTATCGTACTAACGATAACAACTCGTCAACGTAACAAGAAATATTGCCACATTTTTTGATCTAAAAAAATACTTTTCACAAGACTCACTTGGTATAACGCGTTTACGCCAATTCACGCTGCACAAATTAGAGTATTTTACTTTTTTTAATACTTACGATTATTGGTCAATATTATACGCATTTAGTAACGTCCAATAGCATTGCACTTTAGAAACGATGAAACATCATTTTTCGGTAAACTTAGTTTAATGATTTATGATCTTTTCTTAGGTCTTGTTTTTACGTACCTCGACCAATCAGCATCGATTCCAGAGTAATGCGCATATAATTACGCATGAGATAAGCAGATGGCGGTAGTAGACACAATGAAATATTTCTTTAATAAATGTAAAAAATAAAATTACAATGCTTAACAATATGAAATAACTTAAAAAATTAGAATTAAAAAATATTTTTATATTTTATCAATTTTTATATATGCACAATTTAAATGGAAGATAAATTAAATAATAGAATTTGATTAAAAATGTATTTTTATGTATATGAAGTTGGTAGTACTACATCGTTCATTTTTTTAAATTTTCAAATATGATTATTTTCATCTACTTGCGAATTAACATTAAGTATCATTATTTAAGGTATATGTCAAAGTATTCTATATAAATTTTATATATAGAAACTATTATTATATTAATTACAATTACAAGACGTAAAGTAATATAAAAAATATTTTACATATCCGAAACATCAATCACCGTTATATTATATTTTTAACGTTAAAAATTATACTGTGTGGGTATATGTGTAGTATGTGTATCAAGGAAAAATAATCACATCTTTTATCTTTCACTTTTAATATATTTATATAAAAATTGAAAGTATGTGCTATGCTCATGAAAAAATTGCAAAGGCTAACCAATTATAATACAATAGGTGATGTATTGATAATAAAATTACATATATATATAAGACACAACCATTGCTATATGAAAATAGTGAAGTATTTATTATGATTTTTTAATTTTTATTTCCTTTCTAG